CGTGTGTGTGTGTGTGTGTGTGTGTGTGTGTATCTTACATCTTTTTTTTTTTAATTTAGTATAATTGACGATGTTACTTTAGTTTCAGGTGTACAGCTTCAGTAAGTTTAACAAGTTTATATGTCATACTGTGTTTACCACAAGTATAGCTACCATCTGTCCCATTACATAGCTATTACAATATTGTTGAGTATATTCCTTGTGCTCTGATTTTTATTCCTGTGACTTACTCATTCCATAACTGGAGGCCTGTATCTACCTTTCCCATTCATCCATTTTACCCAACTTCCCATCCCCCTCCCCTCTGGCAATCATCAGTTTGTTCATTGTAGTTCTGATTGTTTTTTGTTTATTCATTTTTTCAGATTCCATTTATGTGTAGAATCATGGTATTTGTCTTTCTCAGTCTGACTTATTTCATTTAGCATAGTACCCTTTAGGTCCATCCATGTTGTCTCAAATGGCATGATCTCATCCTTTTTATGGCTGTGTAATATTCCATTGTATATATACACCACATTTTACTTATTTGTTCGTCTACTGATGGACATTTAGGTTGTTTTCGTGTCTTGGCTATCGTAAGTCATGCTGAAATAAACCTGGGGGTGCATATATCTTCTGGAATTAGTGTTTTCATTTTCCTTGGGTAAATGCCCAAAAGTGGAATTATGGGAATGTATGGTAATTCTATTTGTAATTTTTTAAGGAACCACCATACTGTTTCCCACAGTGGTTTTACCAATTTACATTCCTACCAACTGCACCAGGGTTCCTTTCTCTCCACATCCTTGCCAACGTTTGTTGTTTCTTGTCTTCTTGATTTTAGTAATTCTAACAGGTATGAGGTGATATCTCATTGTAGTTTTGATTTATATTTCCCTGATGATGAGTGATGTTGAGCATCTTTTCATGTGTCTGTTGGTATACCACATCTTCATCCATGCATCTATTGATGATCACTTGGGCTTCTTCCATAGTTTGGCTACTGAAACTAATGTTGCAATAAACATAGGGATTCATGTACCCCTCTTAATTAGTGTTTTTGTATTTTGGGGGTAAATACCCAGTAGTGCAAACACTGGATCAAAGTATAGCTCTATTTTTAACTTTTTGAGGAATCTCCATACTGTTTTCCACAGTGACTACACCAGTTTGCATTCCCACCAACAGTGCAAGAGGTTCCTTTCTCTCCACATCCTTGCCAATACTTGTTTCTTGTGTTTTGTGTTTCACCATTCTGACAAGTGTGAGGTGATACCTCATTGTGGTTTTGATTTGCATTTCCCTGATGATCAGTGGTATTGAGCATCTTTTCATGTGTCTGTTGGCCATTAGGCTGTCTTCTTTGGAGAAATGTCTGTTCATGTCTTCTGCCCATTTTTAATTGGATTATTTGGTTTTAGAGTGTTGAGTTGTTATCAGTTCTTTATTATTTTAGATACTAACCCTTTATTAGATATATCATTTGCAAATGATCTTCTCTCATTCCATAGGTTGCCATTTAGTTTTGTTGATTATTTCCTTTGCTGTGCAGAAGCTTTTTCTTTTGATGTAGTCCCAATAGCTTTTCTCTTTTATTTCCCTTGCCTCAGGAGACATATCTAGAAAAATGTTTCTAGAGCCAATGTCAGAGAAATTACTGCCTGTGCTCTCTTCTAGAATTTTATGGTTACAGGTCTCACATATAGGTCTTTAATCCATTTTGAATTTATTTTTGTAGATAGCCAAAGAAAGTGGTCCAGCTTTAGTCTTTTGCATGTGGCTGTCCAGTTTTCCCAACATCATTTGTTGAAGAGATTGTTTTTTGCTCCTTGTATATTCATTCCTTCTTTGTTGGAGATTAATTGATCATATAATTGTGAGTTTATTTCTGAGTTTTCTAGTCTGTTCTATTGATCTATGTGTCTATTTTAATGCTAGTACCATAATGTTTAAATCACTACAGCTTTGTAATGTAACTGGAAGTCCAGAATTGTGATTCCTCATTTTGCTTTTTATTTTTTTCAATATTGCTTTTGCTATTCGGGGTCTTTTGTGGCTCCATACAAATTTTAGGATTGTTTGTTCTAGCTCTGTGAAAAATGCTGTTGGTATTTTGATAGGGATTGAATTAAATGTGTTCAAAGGGATACATGCACCCTGATATTTATAGTGGCATTATCTACAATAGCCAAATTATGGAAACAGCACAAGTGTCCATCGACTGATGAATGGATAAAGAAGAGGTAGTATGTATGTATATATGTATGTATGTATGTATACACACACACACACACATATAAATATATAATGAAATATTATTTAGCCATAAAAAAGAATGAAATCTTGTTATTTGTAATGACATGGATGGAACTAGAGAGTATTATACTAAGTGAAATAAGTCAGAGAAAGATAAATACCATATGAATTCACAAATATGTGGAATTTAAGAAACAAAACAAATGAGTGAAGGGAAAGAGAGAGAGAGACAAACCAAGAAACAGTCTGTTAACTACAGAGAACAACGTGATGGTTACCAGAATGGAAGTCGGTGGGTGGGGGGTTAAATAGATGATGGAGATTAAGGAGGGCACTTGTGATGAGCACCGGGTGTTGTATGGAAGTGTTGAATCACTATATTGTACACCTGAAACTAATATTATACTGTATGTTAACTAACTGGAATATAAACAAAAACTTAAAAAAAAGAAACTATGCTATGTTTTTTATCCTTTCTCTTATTGATGTGACATATTACATTGATTGTTTTATCTATATTGAACCACCCTTGCATTCCCAGAGTAAATACCACTTGATCATCATAAATGATTTTTTTAACGTATTGTTGGATTTGGTTTGCTAATATTTTGCGGAGATTTTTCATCTATGTTCGTCAGAGATATTGACCTGTAGTTCTCTTTTTTTTTGTGGTGTCTTTATCTGGTGTTGGTATCAGGATAATGCTGGCCTCATAGAAAGAATTTGGAAGTTTTCCTTCCATTTCTATTTTTTGGAATAGTTTGAGAAGGATAGGTATTAGCTCTTTTTAAATGTTTGGTAGAATTTGCCTGTGAAGCTGCCTGATCCTGGACTTTTATTTTTTGGGAGTTTTTTGATTACTGATTCAATTTCATTGCTGGTAATCTGTTCAAATTTTCTATTTCTTCCTACTTTAGTTTTGGTAGGTTATATGTTACTAGGAATTTATCCATTTCGTCTGAGTTGTTCAGTTTGTTGGCATATAGGTTTTCATAATATTCTGTTACAATTGTTTGTATTTCTGTGGTGTTGGTTGTTATTTCTCCTCTTCAGTAGTGATCTTATTTGGGTCCTTTCTCTTTCTCCCTTCCTCCCCCCCTTTTGATAAGTCTGGCTAAGGGTTTATCAATTTTGTTGATCTTTTCAAAGAACCAGTTCCTGTTTTCATTGATCTGTTATTGGGTTTTTTTAGTTTCTATATCACTTATTTTTGCTCTAATATTATTCTGTCTTTCCTTTTGCTGGGTTTGGGTTTTGTTTGTTCTTTTTCTAATTCCTTTAGACATAAGGTTAGGTTGTTTATTTGAGATTTTTCTTTCCTCTTGAGGTACGCCTGTATTGCTATTAACTTCCCTCTTAGAATTGCTTTTGCTGCATCCCAAAGATTTTAGATTATTGTGTTTTCATTTTCATTTGTTTCCATGTAATTTTTATTTCTTCTTTTAGTTTGTGGTTGACCCATTCATTGTTTGGTTGCATGTTATTTAACCACCATGTATTTGTGATCTTTCCAAATTTTTCATGGTTAATTTCTAGTTTCATAGCATTGTGGTCAGAAAAGATGCGTGGTATGACCTTGATTTTCTTCAGTTTTGACACTTATCTTGTGGCCTAATATGTGATCTCTTCTGGAGAATGTTCTATGTGCACTTGAAAAGATTGTGTATTCTGCTGCTTTAGGATGTTCTGAATATATCTGTTAACTCCATTTGGTCCAGTGTGTCATTCAAAACCACTCTTTCCTTGTTTATTTTCTCTCCATCAATGTTTATAATCTCTCCATCAATGTAAGTGGCATGTTAAAGTCCCCTACTATTATTGTATCACTATCAATTATTTTCTTTATTTTGCTATTAACTGATTTATGTATTTGGGTGCTCCCATATTGGATGCATAAATATTTACAATTGTTATATCTTCTTGATGGATTGTCCTGTTTATTATTATATAGTATCCTTCTTTGTCTCTTGTTATAGTCTTTGTTTTAAAGTCTATTTTGTCCAATACAAGTATTGCTATCTGGCTTTCTTTTGACATCCATTTGCATCATGACTCTTTCTCCATCTCCACACTCTCAATCTTCAGGTGTCTTTAGGTCTGAAATAAGTCTCTTGTAGGCAGCATATAGATGGGTCTTGTTTGTTTGTTTTTTTTTAATCCATTTTTTTACCCTATGTCTTTTGATTGGAGCAGTTAGTCCATTTACATTCAAAGTAATTATTGATAGATATGTTTTTATTGCCATTTTGTTATTGTTTTATGGTTGTTTCTATGATTTCCTAGATCCTTTCTTCTGCTCTCTTCCATGGTATGTTGGCTTTCTTTAGTGATATACTTGGATTCCTTTTTCTTTATTTTTTGGATATCTATTGCTAGTTTTTTACCATCTGGATTGTTTTGTTTTCTATTTCATTGGTTTTCACTTTAGTTTTTAATATTCTTTTTCTTCTGTTTACTTTGGGCTTAATCTGCTCCACTTTAGTTTTTAAGGTTTTTCACACATTTTTTCCTAATATTGCAGTATTTTGGTGTAAATTTCCCCTAAGTTCTGCTTTAATGGCATCCCAAAAATCCTGATAATGTTGTGTTTTCATTTTATTTGGGTTGAGTGTTCTATAAATGTTAATTAGATCCATGGTGACACAAGGCTCCAAAGTTCCCTGGGGATAATTTCCTTCCCAGTCAAACCTAAAAGGAGAAAGAACAGGAGAAAGATGCTTGAGAGGTTTTTATGACATCACTTCCATTCAGATTCCATTGTTTAGAACTCTGTCGTATGGCTTCACCTAATGGTATGGGAAGCTGGGACATGGTAGTCTAGCTTTTTGCCTGGGAAGAAGAGGAAAATGTATTTGGACAAACAACCAGAAATTTCTTTTCATTTTCTGGAAGAGCTTGTATAAGATAAGAAATACTTGAATCATGGGTATACAGTAGAAATTGTAAAGTTATTGGGGCCTGCTGTTTTCTTTGGGGGAAATTTTGTAACTGCTGATTCAGTTTAATGGATACATGTTCATTTAGGTTTTCTATTACTTCTTGAGTCACTTTTTAGGTACATATAATTTTGTATAAGTTTTAAAATGTATTAGCATAAATCTGTTCAAAGTATTTTCTTATTTTAAACTGCTGTAATTGTAATTATGTTCTTTCTTCATTTTAAATATTGCTTACTTGTACCTTTTTTTACTTGGTTGTTAATCTAACTAGAGATTTGTCGATCTTATTAGTCTTTACCAAAAATCTTAATTTGTATCCCATTAATTTCTGTTCATTATTTCTTTTCTCTACATTATTTGGGCTTATTTTGCTGGTTTTTTTCAACTTGCAATTTGCATGATAAGCTCATTATTTTTCAACTTTCTTTTCTTTTTCTTTTTTTTTTAAGATTATTTATTTATTTATTTGACAGAGAGAGACACAGCGAGAGAGGGAACACAAGCAGGGGGAGTGGGAGAGGGAGAAGCAAGCTTCCTGCTGAGCAGGGAGCCCAGTGCGGGGCTCCATCCCAGGACCTTGGGATCATGACCTGAGCCGAAGGCAGACGCTTAATGACTGAGCCACCCAGGCGCCCCTCAGCTTTCTTTTCTAGTATATGCATTTAGGGCCATACATTTCCCTTGAATTTGGCTCCAGCTTTGTTGCTACAAGTCTTTGTACATATCATTATTCATCACATCTATGTATTTTTAAACTTCCACTGATTTCTTCTTTAATGTGTGAGTTATTTACAGTGTGATTTTAAATTTCACAAGTATGGGAGCTTTTCTTAGGGTATATATTAGGTTATTAATTTCAAAATTTTCAGAGAATGTAGTATGTGTAAAATGATTCTGTAAAACTTGTTGAGTCTTTCTTGTTTTATGGCCTGGTATATGCATGTTAAGTTTGAGATGTCTTCCTGTTTTTTTTATGTTATTAATTCCTTGCAACATTATCTCATTTATTTCTAATTCTAATTGTGTAAGATAGATAGTATGACTCCCATTTTTCAAATAAGAACATTAAAGTCCAGCTAGCACAATAAGTAACTTTTCTATATTCGCAGACAGATCTAGTTAGTCTTATAACCACTTGGAACAAACACTAACTAAAAAAGTATGGTCAACTTTTTATACTGGTTGCATATGGGCCTTGCTTATATCTCATTATAGATTTTTAAACCTTTAGGGCAAGGAGTCATTCTTACTTAAATGGCTTTTTATCCCTCACTTGATATCTGAAACAGTGTTCTACACATATTTGGTGTTCAAAAGATTTTTGTTGATTGGGTACCTGGGTGGCTCATTCAGTTAAGTGACCAGCTCTTGGTTTTGGCTTGGGTCATGATCTCAGGGTTGTGAGATCAAGGCTCATAAGGGACTCCACACTCAGCACAGAGTCGTCTTAAGATTCTTTCCCTTCCCTATCCTTCCCCCTCTGTTCCTCCCCCGCTTGCTCACTCTCTCTCAAATAAATACATAAAATCTTAAAAAAAAAAAAAAAAGGATTTTTGTTGAATTGGAGTAAACCTGAGACTGAAATCTGGCAAAATTCTAAAAGAAATAATAAACAGGTAATCTGTGAATACTCAAAAAATAAAACAGGACTTGTAGTTCTGGAATTATTGCAAAAAATAATCTGAAAACACTCTGATACAAGTACCTAATAATTCTGGGAAAAGTTATAGATATAGGTGTATATAGATAACATCTATATCTATCTATATCCTTCAAATACCTCTATATATCTGTCTAAATCTAGACAGATATGTTAAAGGACAGATATATACATACATACATTGATAACTATATAAAGATATATCCTTTATATCAATATAAAGAATAGCTATAGATATATATGTTAAAGGATAGATGGGCTAACAAAGAGGGACCTACAAAGGCAATAAAGGTATAGATACATAAATGGAAGGAAAACTAAGTGAATTTATTTTACTGATGCCAAGGCAAAAGAGAGAGTGGCCAATAGTGACCCTTTGATTTTTGTGTTAATGAAGTTATTAATGGCCTTGGAAATAGATGTGAAGAAGTAGGAATTCTCATTTAGACTGCAAATGGTACCAAAAAAAAAAAGAAAAAAAGGATCAATTGTAAGCTGGGGGGTGCTGCCAAGAGAGAGTTTTATTTATTTTAAGATTTAAGACAATGTTCTTGGGGTGCCTGGGTAAGCTGGCTACCTTCAGCTAAGGTCATGATCTCAGAGTCCTGGGATCGAACCCTGCATTGGGCTCTCTGCTCAGTGGGGAGCCTGCTTCTCCCTCTGCCTGTGTCCCCTACTTGTGCTTCTTTCTCATTCACTCTATCAAATAAATAAATAAAGTCTTTTAAAAAAAGGACTTAATGTTCTTGCCTAACTATCTCTTACTCAGTCTGTAAGATTCAGCTCAGGTGTTATCTCTAGGACTGTACCTGTACTTGATCAAACTCCTGTTGTCTTAGCACTATCAAAAGGTCTTTATCATAGCACTTAGAATATTTTAATGAACATATCCATTTAAATATCTTGTCTCCTGCAGATTATAAACTCTGTGATCATGTGTTATTTATCTTTCAATCACCAATTCTTGACAGAGGTTTGGCAATAGAAAATTCTCAGGCCATGTTTAAACTACGGAGCTTTTAAAAATTTACCCTTTTTATAAATCTACCTGTGACCACATTTTGTACTTATTTCTTCCTTTATAACACCTATATACTTTTTAATTGCATTTATTCCTTTTCACATGTATGACCTTCTTACATATATATTTATATTATTACATACTTATAAACAACATAGTTATATTATTCATTTTTGTAATACTAGCATTTAGCATAGTGCCTATCATTCATTTATTGAATATTCAGTCATTTCTCGAGTAACCAGTCATTATTCTAAATTCCAAGAATACCATAATGAAAAAGATTTATCTTTTGGTAGAGGAAGACAGAATAGACAATAAACAAGTAAAGAAAATTATTTACAATAGTAATTATTAAAGACAAAGAAACAAAGTGAAATGATAGAGTAACTGCTGAAAGTGAGGAGTCATTACTTTATTTATTTATTATTTACTTATTTATTTTTAGAGAGAGAGGTGCACGCGATGAGCGGGGGTGGGGGCAAAGGGAGAGGGAAAGAGAGAATCCTCAAGTAGACTCTCCGCTGAGCGCAGAGCCCAATGCAGGGCTCAATCCCGGGACCCTGAGATCATGACTAGAGCCGAAATCAAGGGCCTGCTGCTCAAAACCAACTGAGCCACCCAGGCACCCCAGTAGAGTCATTACTTTAGACAGGATACTTAAGAGCAGAATCAAGAAAGTAAAAATACTACCTTTGTATATATATTGATTAAAACTTTAAAGTGAGAAGGGGATCTTAATGATTTACAGAGTCCAGCCTTTTCATTTTACAGATTGATTTAGAGAGATTGTGTGACTTGTTGAAGGTATTAACAAATATGTAATTTGTCTTTCTCTTGGTAAAGTGGTTTGGAAACTTTCAGGTTCTTTATACCTGATTGGGATTTCCCTGAGATGTAAATGACCTGTTTAAACCAGGGACTATGATGGTGTACTAATCACACCTATTTTCTTGCTTAATGGAAATTTGAAAAAAAAAGAAAAGATAGAGGAGGGCAGGGATCTTCAGGGGAGACAGTTAAGTGTGCTATAATCACAGTGATAACAATAATGTTCTATAAGGAGACTTGTAGTATCGAAGTAAAGGTGTCAGGAATTATGTAAGAAGCTTCAAAGATTTTTTTTCTGAATTTTCTAGATACTCATGGTAGATAATACACACACACGCGAAGTCTAGAGTAGAAAATTGTAACTACAAGCCCTTACGCCAGGGATAACCATTGTTGATTATTTTCCTTATACAAATGTTTCTCCTCTTTCTTTATTTTTCTCTCTCTCTTTCTTTCTTTCTTTCTTTGTCTTTCTTTTTCACAAAATTGAAATTATATTATTTTTATATATTTTTTTAATATTTGAGAAAACCAGAAAAGTGAAAAGAAAAAGGAAAAGGTCAAAGGATAACAAACACCCATGTAATCTACTAAATACATGTTTTTTGATCATATAAGCTTCAGATCTTTAATTTTTTAAAGAAATAAAACATTACAGATAAAGTCTGAGTTTACGTTCCATCTTTAGTCCCATTCCCCTCATTCCCTCTCCAGACACAACAAATTTAATGTATTTTAATACTTCTATTTCATTAATTTTTTTAGAAATAGTATTATTTTGTGTTTTCTTTTAATGTGCATACATGCAATCAATACATAATTGGAATAATTGAACATGAATTTATGGGAGTTGCTTTTTGCACTGAACGTTATATTTTTCAGTTCTATTCATGCTGATATGTATATATCTAGTTTATTCATAAGTCTTAAGTGTTAACCTTGATGAATTTTCATTGAACACACCTATGTGACCAGCTCCCAGCTCAAGAAACAGAACATTACCAGCATTCCTGAACTCCCCAGATACCTGTGTTTGAATTTTATGTCGGCCTTCTTTTGCCCAACATTATTTATGAAATTTATCTATTTTGTTGTGCATAGTTATAGTCTATTCTTTCCCATTTATAGAATATTTTGTTTTCTTAAATCAATTCAGTTTTTGAAATTTATCCATTCAACTGTTGATGGGCATTTGTGCAGTTTCTAATTTGTGGCTGTCTCAAATAGTGATGCTATAAACGTAGTACATATTTTTCTGAATGTATATGTATATGTTTCATTTTGGTATATGTCTAAAAATTGTTGGGTCATGGGTATGCCTATGTTCAGCTTTAATAATAGAGCCAAACAATTTTCCAAAGTATTGTACAAAACTACAATCGCACCAATAGTGAATGAGAATTCAGGTTACTCTGCCTCCTTGGCAACAATTGACATTTTCTGTCATTTTCATTTTAGGCATCATATAGAGTAGTTGTTATTACCTCATTGTGGTTTAATTAGTACTTCCCTGATTGTTAATGAAGTTTTCATATGTGTATTGGCCATTTAGATATTCTTTTTTATGATATCCTTAAATATTTAGCATCCTTAATTATTTTTTTCTAACAAATCTAAAGATATTAAGGGTCTCTATTCTCCACCCGATCTAGGTAAGGAAGGACCTTAGCAACTTTTAGATAACTATTGTTCCCTCACTTAGTGGTTGTGTGCCTTCAAGCAAGTTTCTTAACTTTATTTTGCCTCAATTGTTTCTGCATCTAGAAAATGAGGAAATAATAGTACTTAACTCAGAGTTGTGAGAATTAAATGAGTTTAAATATATAATACACTGAACAGTGCCTGGCATGTAGTATTTACTATATGAATATCAGTTATTATCGTTGTTGTTGTTATTGGCAAAATGATAGACCATATATATCATATATATATATCAAGGGGACAGAATAGAGATTTCAGAAGGAGACTGACACAAATATAGCTACTTGATTTTTGACAAGGGTACAAAAGCAACTCAGTGAAGAAAGGATAGTCTTTTCAACAAATGGTGTTGGAGGCACTAGATATACATATCCAAAGGGGGGAAAAAGGAACTTGACCCATGCCTTACACCTTACGTAAAAATTAATTCAAAATGAATCATAAATTAAATGTAAAACATAAAACTATAAATCCTTTATAGGAAAACATAGGAGAAAATCTCTGTGGCCTGGGTTAGGCAAAGAGTTCTCAGATAGGACCATAACACAATCCATTCAAGGAAAAACTTAATAAATTAGACACCACCAAAATTTAAAAGTTTTGCTCTGTGAAAGACACTCTTAAGAGAATTGAAAAGACAAGCCATAGACTTGGAGAAAATATTTCCAAATCATGTATCTGACCAAGGACTTGAGGAATTCTAAAAAATCAGCAAAGATGTAAACAAATACTTCACTGAACAAGACATATGGATGGCAAATAAGCACATGCAAAGATGCTCAACATCATTATTCATTAAGGAAATGCAAATTAAAACCACAGTGAGATACCACTGTACATCTGTACATCTATTAGAATGTACATCTGTACATCTATTAGAATGACTGAAATAAAGCTAACGATATCAAGTGGTGGCAATGATGCAGAGCAAGTGGAACTATCATATAATGCTGGTGGGAAATAGATGATACAGACACTTTGGAAAGCAATGTGGCAGTTTCTTACACATTTAAATATATATTTACTACATGACACTACTGAACTAAAAACTTATGTTCAAACACCTTAATGCAGGTGTATAGTAGCTTTAATCTAACAACCCCAAACTGGAAACAAATGTCTCTCAGCTGGGGAATAAACAAACTGTGGTACATCTGTAAAATGGAATGTTACTCAGCAATAAAAAGAAACAAACTATTAATACATGCAACACAATGTAGGTGAATGTCACATGCATTATGCTAAGTGAAAAAGGCCAGACTCAAAAGGCCACGTGCTGTATGATTCCATTTATATGAAATTCACATAAGGCAAAAGTATAAGGATGGAGAATAGGGATGGAAAATAAACAATGGTTGCCAGCAATTAAAGTGCTTGACCACTAAGAGGCAGTATGAGGAAATTTGGGGAGGTGATGGAAGTCTCACGTAACTTGGTTATGGTGCTGTGACAGATATTTTTTGTATTTGTCAAAACTTACAGAACTGCACACACACACAAATGAATTTTACTATATAAATTAAAAACTTTTTAAAATCCTTCTTAGGTTATTTCCCTGAATATTGCTTTTCCACTACTCTTATTTTTTCTTTTAGGAACCCTGTTACTTTTATATTATATATTCTTAATCTTTTCCAATCTCATATTTCCTTATATTTTTCATTTCTTTATGTAATTAGGTGAGTTTCTCAGTGTTATATTTCATCTCATTCATTGTGTTCAAAGAAGAATTTATCTTAAAATTTTTGAATTTTTCATTTTCTAAGATTCCTTCTTGGTCTTCTATTAGTGGTTCAGGACCCCCTTCCCTCAGAGATTTTGTTCATGTAGTCATTCACAGTGCCAAAGGATGATTTGGTCTAGGTCTTGTCTCGGTGATTTTCTCTGCTTCTTCTAGCTAATTCTTGCTTCCAGATCTCAGTGCTTCATATGCCTGTGGTTTTAGGCTCTACTTATTTTTCTGTGTTGCTCTTATTTCTTTGTCCCTAGAAATCTTTATCTTTTTTTCCCCAAAGTTTTATTTATTTAAATAATCTCTACACACTGTGTAGGGCTCGAACTCATGACCCCAACATCAAGAGTCACATGCTCTTCTGACTGAGCTGGCCAGGTGCCCCTAGAAATCTTTATCTTATATTTGAGTATGATCATGTCTTTTTAATTTTTTAAAAATATGCATTTTACCAATCTTGCTTTTATCAATGAATACTGTCTGATATTTTGTTATACCACTCTGCCAGTGATTCTCAGCTGGGGCAGTTTTGCCCCCCAGAATACATTTGCCTGGAGACATCTTTGGTACAATGCATAGAACAATCCCTACAACAAATTATCTGATCCAAAAGATCAATAGTATTGATGTTGAGAAATCCTGCACTAAATAATTAAAGAATATGATATTTTTTATATGTAACATCATCATAACTTATTTAATTGCCCTCCTAAGTTGTTTTACTTAGAAGTTTTTTTTTTTGTATTGTAAGTATCACTTTGATAAATAGCCTTCTATATTTTTTTGGTACCATTAATTAATTCCCAAATGTAGACATTTTCTGAACGCAAACAAAACGAAGATTTGAGAGGCATCATCTTGGAAGCTGGAAATTACTTAGGAAACAACAAAAATATGGGAACTACAAAGTCTTTATCATGTCATATTTTTAGTGGAACTTATAATATGTTCACACATAAAGATCTTCCATTAGTTTTATTTTTTTAAGATTTTATTTAAATTCCGGTTAATTAACATACAGTATAATATTAACTTCAGGTGTACAATTTAGTGATTCAACATTTCTATGCAACACCTGGCACTCATCACAAGTGCATCCTTAGTCCCCATCACCTTTTTAACCCATCCCCTCTGGTGATCATCAGTTTGTTCTCTATAGTTTTATACTTTTAAATCCTTTTTTTCCAGGTAATATGCAGTTGACCTTTGAACAACATGGGTTTGAACTGTGAGGGTCCACTTATATGTGGATGATTTTCCATATAGTATAGGACTATTAATGTATTTTCTCCTCCCTATAATTTTCTTAATAACATTTTCTTTTCTCTAGCTTATTTATTGTAAGACTACAGTATATAATACATAGAACATACAAAATATGTGTTAATCAACTGTTTATGTTATTGGTAAGGCTTCCAGTCTGCAGTAGGCTGTTGTTTATACATGTATATACATAAGTAGTTAAGTTTTCAGAGAGTCAAAAGTTATATGTGGATTTGTGAGTGTGCACAGAGTTGGTGCCCCTAATCCTCACATTGTTTAAGGGTCAGCTGTACTCTTAAATTGTTTTAAGGCCCTTTATGTTCTATACAGCTTTTTGTGAAAGCTTCCTACAGCTTGCTTTATGGTTAGGTATCAGATTTCAGAATCTTAAGGAATACTTGACCAACCTGACTATAAATACCTCGTGCATTCTATATTCTTAATTCTTTTCAATACATACCAGTATTAAGATGATTTATAGAAGGAATAAGATAATAGAAAAAAACAGAGGACTGGCTTTAATCTGCTGCCTAATCTCAGTTCAGGTCTCTCTCTTACCTAGACCTCAATTTTATCACCTGTAAAATGAAGGAGTTATACCACATAATTCCTATAGGCTTTTCCAATTTTAAACCTGTGATATGCTATTATTTTATATTGCTTTTATTTAGGTTTTGGCCATGATCTGTTATTGTTCCTGGGATAAATAGAGATAAAACAAAGATTTCTAAAACATTTTAAAGTTTCTCATGTTTGTTATTTATTACCCTCCATCTGCCTTCTTGTAGTGATTGATAATACAAATTTTAAAATGCAAAGTGTCTTATGTTGGAGGACTGCAAAGAATGATACTGGAAAAATAACAAAAATTTACAGCTAGACTGGGAAAGGAGAAAGCTAGATAAGAAAAAAGAAGGTGACAGCTGTACAAAAACAAACAAAACCTAGGTATCAAATTGAGGCAGGGTCAGAGAAATGTACCCTGGACCCTAATCACCATGAGGCCTTGTGTTGAAATTTGTTAGAATTGCACAGGACCCTAGAATTCAGGTTTCCCAACTTCCCGGTTAATGTTTTAACACTACAGTATGTCATATCATACATATTATTATGTCATTTAATTTTACCTAGAGAATGAAGATACATGCATGAAATAATCTTTTATAATTTATTTGTATAGGTTTTTTTAACCACTTAACTTATTTTCTGGCTGCTGGTGCTGTTACTTTGGGAATTGGTTTCTTTGCTTTGGCATCAGCTTTGTGGTTCCTGATTTGCAAACGAAGGTAAGGTTTATTAGAATGCTTAACTTTTTTTCCTCTTAAAAACTCAATGAAAGACTTTTTCAAATGGTATTAAATAAGTATAATAGCACTGATTCTGTAATTTGAGGTTTGGTTATAGACACTTTGATTGGGGAGGGAAAGCTTTACATGTTTAAAATAGCCCAGAAAGACAAGTCCTAGTAGTATAATAGTCTGAGTGCTGTAATAGCAATCTTCATGCATTAAAATTTTAAGGAATAATGAGACATATTTTATTTTCTAGAAGATGTGTGTTCAAATTATAAGGCTAGAAATTTAAAAAAATTTTGATTTCTAATTTAGAGGTTAAAAACATTACTGAGACAAAAAGACTCTTTCTTTAGGAGATATTTAAGAGAAGAGCTGACAGAATGCTTTGGTATAGTCTAAATGTAGTCTTTTGCCAGAGACAGAAAACCCTAAAATCTGGTGGTTTTGATTATTTTGTTCAGTATTTGCTTTGTCTGATGTTTAAAAATGTAAATTGTAATACGCTCTTACACACACTCTTCCAGTATTCCCTATCTCAGCAAATGAATGCATACTATCTATTCATTTGCACAAGTCAGAAAACTGGAAATTATTCACTTATTCATTCTTTTAACAAATATTTATTGGTGCCTGCCATTGTTCTAGGTACCAAGGATACAACTGTGAACAAGTTGACAGTTTCTGTTCCATAGACTAGCAGTGCTACTGGGAGGAGACAGATAATGAAAAATAAAATGGTCAGGGAATGTCTCTTCAAGTGGGCAGTATTTAATCTGAGATCAGAGTTAAAAGAAGGAGCCAACCATGTGAAGACTTTTGTCAAAGAGCTCTCTAGGCTGAAGGGTTAGGAAGTACAAAGACCCCATATGGGAATGTTCTTGGTATTGTTCAATAAAGGGAAAGAAGGCTAGTGTATAGACTGTAGTGAGTGAGGGAAATAATGATGAGACTGAAGATGTAGATGGGGGCTAGATCACATAGGATGTTGTAGGCCAAAATATGGAGTTTGGATTTTATTATTTATGCCATCATAAGGTTTTAAGCCAGAGAATGACATTATCAGCATAATAATGGCTAACATTGAGGGCTTACTACATGGTAGGCACTGTTGTGCTTTATACGTGATCTCATTTAACCACCCCATGAGGTAGCAGTAATATTATCTCTCTTTTAAGGACACTATAATGTCACCTACAGATGATTTACATTTTTATAAAACTTTTTAAAATTTGAGATATAATTCACATACAATATAATACATAGATTTTAAACATATGATGATGAATTTCAGCAAATATATTCCCATGTAATCACAACCACAGTCAAGATATATAACTTTCCATCACCCTGGAAAGTTCCCTTATGTTCCTTTCCAGGCATCACTCCCCACCTCCCACTCAGAGGCAGTCATTATTCTGATTTTTATTACCAGAGGTTAATTTTGTCTAGTCTTGAGTTACATGTAAATGGAATCATATGGACTTTTTTATGTTTGCTTTTTTGACTTAACATAATATTTTTGAGATTCATTCATGTCATTGTATTTATCTGTATTTCATTCTTTTTATTGATGATTTTTATTAATTGTATAAATATACCTCACTTTATTCTTAATGGACAGTTGGGTCATTTCCAGTTTTTAGTTCTTAGGAGTAAGGCTGCTATGAACGTTCTTGTATAAATCTTTTTGTACATGTGCTTTCACTTCTCTTGGGTAAATGCCTAAGAGTAGAATTACTGGATCATATGTGATTAACTTTGTAGCAAACTGCTGAACAGTTTTCCAAAGTGGGTACATACTCCTACCAGCAATATATGAGAGTTTTAATTCATTTTTTTTAAAAAGATTTTTCTTCTCTGTGAAGCCTGAATTTTAATTGAGCAAGGGTGAAAGCAGAGAATGTTAGGAGGCTATTGCATAGTCCAGGTCAGAGATGATAATGTCTTAGATTAATATGGAAGTAGAGGAGATAAAAAGAAGAGGTTGGATTTGGGGTGTGTTTTGCAGGTAAAGTTAGCAGGGCTTGTTTGATGGATTAGATAAGGTAAGGGAAGATAAATGAAATGGGAGAATTAATGCTAACACCTACGTTTTTACCATGAGCAACTGAGTAGTTGATCATGCCATTTACTGAGATGAGAATATGATTAGAGAGGGGAGCAAGTTGAGGGAATAGTGATAAACTAGGAGTTGCAATTTGGAAAGTCTTTTGGACATCCATTAGAAATGTCCCATACTCAGATATACATGTAGGACTTTCAGAAGAGAGTTTAAGGCTGAAGATTTAGGATATCAATGTATAGAGGGTATCTGAGGTCATAGAACTGGGTGAGACTAACCAGGGAGTGATTGTTGGAAGAAAAGAACCTAGGACTGTGCCCTTCAGCCCACCAACATTTAGAAATCTAGCAAAAGAATAGGAAGAATCAATATCTGAGAAGGAAAAACAGAAAGGTACACTGTCAAGGAAGTCAAAATTAGAAAATTTTCAGGGGGTGCTGGGAAGATGGCAGAGTAGGGGACCCTAAGCTCACCCTGTCCCATGTTTACAACTGGATATCATTCACATCCAAGTCAATAAACCGGAGAGTGATCCGAAGACTGGCAGAACAAACTCCACAACTAAATGTAGAGAAGAAGCTGCATGGGAGAGGTTAGGAAGAGCAGAAACTGTGGTCAGGAGCTCCCCACAGGAGGGAAAGAGCTGCAGTTGTGGAGAGGGGAAAACACCAGGAAGCCCACACAGAGAAAATGAATCCCCATAACCTCTGGCCTTGAAAACCAAAGGGGCTGAATTCTGTGAGTCTGTATAACCAGTAGAACTTGGAACCTGGAGTTTTAAAATTCAGAGGTAGTGATAGCCCACAAAGAGTGCCCACCCTTAAAGAGACAAGAGCCCAAGGAAAGGCAACATAGAAATGACAGCTTGCAGAATGGAGGGAGATCTGTTTATACTGATTTCAGAGAGTGTTGGAGGATTTCTATGGGAACAAAGGAGCTGGCAGGTGCCATTTTCCTCTCCTGGCACTGCATAGGCACTTGCTACCTAACCTATTGGTACTGCGCTCTGCCCACAAGTTCTGAGAACTCACCAACTCCAAGCCTGCTGGTCTCGGCTCCAGGCTCACTGCAATTTTTGTTAATGCTGTGCATGCTGCACCTACCCACTGCCTCTACATGCTGTGCCCCCATGCCATCACACTTTGGGGGATCCAGCCTAGAACTAGTGGGTCAATGCAAATTTAACTAACACTGCATGTGCCCTGCCCAACCACCAAGTGCCCCTGGTGGCCACCACCACCATCCTCATGTGCCGTACCCCCAACAGCCATTTGGCCATTGGAGGTCCGGCCTAGGACTAGGGGTTCAGTGCAAATTGTGCTAACATCAAAATTTGCCCCCAAGCCCTTCTGCTGTCACACCCCCTCAAAGCCGGCCTACCTGGATCTCACTAATATCGTAGAGAGCAAGCACAGCCCACAACAGGCAAAGAGCCAGTGCAGATGTCTAGACGAAAATGAAAAGTGACTCAGACACCATAGCAGGACGCAAAAAACACACATAGGAGACTCCTCTGAAGAACCAGGTTCTGGTGAATAGGGGACACTGCACTGCAGGGCACTACAGGACCTCTTCTTCATAAAGCCACTACTTTAAAGAACAGAACACACAATTGACTTTTGTAACACACAGAAACAGACACAGGTAGACAAATGAGGAGACAGAGTTGCAAATGAAAGAACAAGACAAAATCACAGCAAGATATCTTTTTTGTTTGTTTGTTTTTAAATTTTATTATGCTATGTTAATCACCATACATTACATCATTAGTTTTTGATGTAGTGTTCCATCAGCAGGATATCCAAGAGAAAGAAAAATAATATGCCTGATACGGAATTTAAAGTAATGATCACAAAGATACTCACTGGACTTCAGGAAAGGGTGGAGGACATCAGTAAGAACCTTGACAAAAAGATAAAAAATAATATATCAAAGATGAAGAATGCAATAAATGAAATTAAAAATACAATAGATGCAATAAGTAGTAGGCTACAGGAAGCAGAGGAATGTATCAGTGACCTGGAGGAGAGAATAATGGAAAGCAATCAAGCTGAACAACGAGAAACAAATAAAATACTACATAATGAGAATAGACTTACAGAACTCAGTGGCTCCTTCAAGCATAATAACATTCATATTAGAGGGATCCCAGAAGGAAAAGAGAGAGAAGGGGAGGCAGAAAATGTATTTGCAGAAATAATAGCTAAAAACTTCCCAAACCTGGGGAGGGAAACAGAGATCCAGATACAGGAGGCACAGAGATCCCCCAACAAATTAAACCCAAGAAGGTCCACACCAAGACATTTAGTAATTAAAGTGGCAAAAAATAGTGATAAAGAATTTTAAAGGTAGCAAGAGAAGACAGCTACATACAAAGGAAACTCCAAAAATCTATCAGCTGATTTTTTAGCAGAAACTTTGTGAGCCAAAAGAGGGTGGCATAATGTATTCCAAGTGATGAAAGGGAAAATTCTGCAGCCAAGAATACTTTACCCAGCAAGGCTATCATTCAGAATATAAGAAGAGATAAAGAGTTTCCCAAACAAAAGTTAAAAGAATTCATGGCCACTAAACCAGCCCTATAAGAAATGTTAAGGGGGACTCTGAGTGGAAAACAAAAACCATTAAGTAAGAATAAGAAAAATAAGAATCACAAAATAAAAGGATGTAAAAAATCATATCAAATATCTGAAATGTAGAGGGGAGAAGAGTAAAAAATGAGTTTAAAAATAAGCGACTGTCAGCTTAATATAGTCTGCTAAGTGCAAAAGATGTTATGTATAAACCAAATGGTAACTACAAATCAAAAAACATAATAGATATACAAAAAGTAAACAGTAAGGAACCCAAATATGTCCCTAACCCCCCCCCAGCAAACCGTGAAGGAGAGAAAGCAAAGAAAGGATCAGAGAAAAACTGCAAAAACAAC